TTGTGGGGGGGGGGGGGTAGGGCAAGGCAGGGCAAAGCAATAGCCGAGCCGCCGCGGTGCCCACCCGATGCTGCCTGGGAAGCCGTGTGCGCGTGGCGTCTTGCTGCAGGCCGCACCGCGCCGTCAGCTGGGGCGCCTCTGTTGTGGCCATACGTCTGAAAAAGGGAGGCAGCAGAACAGCCAGGGTGATGCGCATGCAGGTGTGGGATGCATGTGGGAAGGTGTGGGCTGGCGGTAAACACAGGGCCAGAAGCAGAGCCTCCCCTTTGGCACAGGCCAGTGCCGGCAGCAGCTGCCTCCCCACCTCACCTCCAGCTCAAAGCGAGGGTGCTTGAAGCGCCGCTGCACGAGCACCCCCTGCTTAATGTTGAAGCCGTCCCCTCGAGCAACTGCACTTATGGGCCAGCAGGACCAGCAGCCGGGGGCAGGCACCTAAGTTGACAGCTGCACCTGGCCTCAATTGCAGCCATGCCTGGCTGTGACGATTGGGGGCCTGGGGGCAGTGACCGCATACGTGCAGCAGCTGCTGGATGTCACGCAGAGCAGCGCCACACAGGAGTGCAGGTGAGGGAGCGGCTGCAGGTTGGCGAGCTGGCCTCGCCAGGTGCTGCCGGTGCCCGGCGGCCTCCTCGAATCATCTGCTGTACATCCCCCGTCAACCACCCTGCTGCTGCTGTGGGCGTCCCGCCTGCTGCAGGGACCAGGCCGGCGGTCACCAGGCAGTGCACAACTTCATGCTGCACCGGCTGGGGGAGCAGGGGGGCCTCAGGTTCCGCCACCACGTGCGCAGCAACTGGGAGTCCCCCATCCATAGCGCAGGCACGTGCGGCTGAAGAGCTGCCGCCGCTGGTGCTTGATTGTGCTGCTGCTACTCTGCCGGGCGTCCCCTCCATTGCATCCTAACCCACCTCCCCTCACTTCCTGCCGCAGCATACGGCTGGCCATTCCGGATAGACCGCTTCGGCGTGCTGCGGCGGGACAACGGCACCACCCCCGCCGTCGTGCATCAGTACCATCGCTGGCGTGGCGCCCTGGCCATCTACCGGGCCATGTATCCCTACCTGGGCCGCGGCTTCTTTTACAACGGGTCCAACGCAACAGGCAACTCGGTGCTGGCACACATGCGGCTGTGCCAGTTCTGCCGCAAGCAGCAGGATGCCGGTGCAGCAACAACGGCATGATGCCCAACCTTGCTGCGAAGCTTGTGTAACCAGCGACGCCGGTCCGTACTAGGGGCAGGTCTGTACCAAGGGCCAAGCAGCTGTACAGACACCGCCAACAGTTCAACTCTGCCCGGCGCCTATGCATTGCAGTGACGCTTTCTTGCAGTACTGCTAGGGGCGCAGTGCCGTGCTGCATCAGGGCTTGCTGCTCTCAAATGACTCCACACGGGCCGTACCGCCGCCTCCGACGGCAGAATCCCACACATCCTGCATGGCCCCAGCCAGGCAGTCAACAACCATAGTCAGTGTGATGGACCTGGTAAGGCAGGCAGCCATCTGGCAGCAGTGGCCGCGCTGGTCAGCCCAGGGCATGCCAGGACCGCCCACCTTTCTGTACCAGGTGCTCCAGGTGCCGCACGGCAGGCTGATGTTCTTGCCCATATCCGTCACGCTGCTGCACGTCAGCTCCGGAGGCTGCGACAGGCAAGCTCTTTGTGGCGGCTGTGAGGTGTTGCTGCCCGGGGCTGAGGGGGTGGGAAGGAAAGCAGGCTAGCAAGCAGCCCAGCCAAGGCAAGGCCAACACACACCTGGCAATCGTTGTTGAGAGGGTTCTGCCCGGCCTTGAGGAAGCAGCCCTGCTGCACGTCGTTGAAGGTGAAGCTCACGCAGCCCTCGGCGGCCTGGCAGGCAAGGACGCAATGGCCGAGATTCACGGGCTTGCGCGCTCCAAAGCCGCCCTGCATCAGCGGCAGTTGGTTGGCGCCACTGTGTATGTGCTGGTCGCGCGCGCAAGAGGGGGCACATGTTGATGGGCTGGGGGATAGGCGGGGCTGCCTGCCTGCCAGCGACTCATGTCAGGCTCACCGCAAAGGCTGGGTTGCGGTCGAATCCTCCGGTTGGGTCCTCGGCCCACCCAACAGCATTCTGCACGGCATCGCGCCCCACGGCCGATCGTGCTCCTGCTCCACAGCTGCTCGGCTGGCGGGCAGCAGGTGCAGGATGGCAGTCGAAGTGCAGCAGGGCAGTGCAGCTCACCTGGGGGTAGGGAACGTCCTGGCCCTTGTCGCAGGCCTGCCCCTGGGGCTCATTGTGGAAGGAGGAAAGCGCGGCGCTGCAACCACAGCATGCACAGCACGGGTCAGCTTCCCAGGATGTCAGGCACGAGGGGAGCCCGTGCCGGCAGCCCGCAGGCGCCCGCCCTACTTGATTGCGGTTGTGTCGTTGGAGCAGCCTGTGGAGCCGGTGCCTGTGGCGCCCACAGGGCACTCGCAGGTGAAGCCGCCCTGCAGGGCACGGAGCAAGCAACGTGCCGTAGCCAGCGGTGGACAGGCCATATGGGACGAAAGAGAGAAGAAAGAAGAACAGAACACACCTGCGAGTTGATGCAGATGGCTGAGGTGGCGCAGTTGGCTGTGCCCCGCACGCACTCGTTGATGTCGATGCTGCAGTCGGGTCCCTCATACCTGCGGCAGGCATTGGCAGGCAGAGACACAGCGCCTCAACGCAAGGATGCAAAAGGCAGCATCTGCCCAGCCATCTCCTGTTGCTGCCGCGGCTCACTCCCCTCGCCCCCTCACCCTTTGTCTGCGCAGGAGCCAGCGGCCGCGGGGCCCTTCTCGCTGCACCCGACAGCGGGGCCGCTGTACAGCTGCTGTAACGCCGCAGCGTTGCTCTTGATCAGGCCAAAAGTGGAGTCTGTGCTGTAGATGCCAAACCGGCCTGCCCCGCCTCCCTCGCCCTTGCTGGCGGTCTACGGACCAGGCAGCACATGTGGCGTCGGTGCGGCATCGCTCAGCACATTGCGTCTCGGCCCCACGCGCCTCCAGAGCAGCAATGTGGAGCAGCAGGTGCTCGTGCCTGATGCCCGTCTGCCCCGCTACCCGTCTCACCTGCCCAGGCGCGTAGTACTGCCAGAACAGGGCGCCCTTGAGCGGCCCTCCGCTCTTCAAGCTGGTCTCCACTTCGTCGAAGGCGGCCTTGAAATAGGCATCTCGGTTCTGCTCCGCACCAAACTCCTCGATGATCAGCGGCTTGCCCAGGGCGGCGGAGTCTGCAAGGACAACAGTACACCCCACCATTGACGCAAAGACGAGGGCATGCAAGGGGACAGATGGATGTGCTGATGGTGCACCACCCACCCTTGATGTGCTGCTGGATGTAGCGGCGGAAGAAGTCGACGGGCAGGGCGGAGGAGCAGGTCTGGCACTTCCACAGGTCGGGCCAGATGTGGATGGCGGCAAAGTCTATGCCTGCGGAGGAGTGGTCGGCGATGAAGTCCTGGTTCCACTGGGTGGCCCAATCAGAGTCTGGGTGGCCGGGGTTGGAGGGGATGGAGGCCCTGCAGGGGACGGGGGGCAGAGTGGCGGCAGAGCGCGGCAGCCGTGGGGCCAGCAGCGGGCGGCAACGCGTTTGGAGCGGCATTGGCTGGCAGCCAGGCTGTGAACGTGGAGAGGGGGCACTGCCAGGCATGGTTGCCCAGCTCCGGAGGGATCCCCAACCCCGGCCTCTCCTGGAGGTTGAGTAGAAGCCCTCCTCCCCCACAGTCAGCAGGTGGTTGGCGTCCAGCCCTTTCACAAAGGACGCCATCTCCTTGACCCACGCCACGATGGTGCCTGCAGCGCACCCGTGCGGGCATGGGTAGGGTACCCCAGGTTGGGTAGAGCTGCAGAGGGCTGGCGGAATCTTGAGGCTGGTCGACGCGCCGTGCCGAGCATTGCTCACCCGGCTTGCAGTCTCGGCACACGGGCTCATTGATCAGGTCCCAGGCCCTGCCAGGCAGGCAGGCATGGCAGGGGTCGGCAGCCAGCCAGCGCGGCCTGAACAGCGGCACTGGCATCCCCGTCCCAGGCGCCACGTGTGCACAGCTGGCGCCACCTCCTGCGCAGCTGCTCACATGATGGCGGGATCGTCGCGGTTGGGGCGCCCCGTGATGGTGTTCACCCTGCCCACGATGGCTGCCACGTAGTCCCGGAACAGAACCTTGGTGGCGGGGCTGGTGAAGAAATCGTTGTGGGTGCCGCCTGCAGGCATGCGTGGGAGGGGGTGCGTAGCCGGGCATGTCCTTGGCATGTTTAGGGTCACTCGGGCGTTGGGATTCCAGCAGGGTGAGGCCGCAGAAGCATGAAGCATGCTCGCATGCATGAAAACAGGACACGGTGCAGCAAGCAGGTGCCATAGTGCTATAACTCTAACAGGACACCCCCGCCTTCCTCCCTCACCGGTGAGATTGGCAAAGGTGTCCACCCCTCCTGCAGGTGTCCAGTTGGAGGTGAAGGACAGGATGACCTGCAGCCCAGCAGAACCGAGCACTCAACAGCTGCATGTGCGGCAGCTGCGCCACGAATGCTGCGGCAGCAGCGGCGGCAGGCATCCCTCCTGGCGGCGGACCCGGCCAGCTGGGCACATGGGCGTGGGGCGCAGACTGGCAGGAAGGGAGGCCAGCGGGCACCCCAGCTCGGCACCTTGATGCCGCGCTTGCCGGCCTCGGCAAGGAAGTAGTCCAGCCCGCGCAGCATCCCCTCGTTGAGCTCCCTGGGCTTCAGCAGGCTGGGGTAGTCGTTGCTCACGCCGTGGGCCCTGCAGGAGGAGGCAGCCACGATGGCCCGGGTGGCAGGTAGGATGCCAGGCAGTGCAGCGGCACCGGAGTGCAGCTCTCTGGGTAGGGCGTGCGAGGCAGTCGCTCCCTGCGTTTCCAGCGGGCCGGCTGGCCAGCCTCACCAGGCGCGCACAACAGTCATGCCATCCTCCACGGCGCTGTCCAGCAGCTGGCGGATGAGCTCGGGGCCGGTCAGGCCCGGCGGCAGGTGCGACCCAGCCAGCCGCGGCGCCCCCGCGGCGGCCTCCATCACCTCCCACCTGCGGGGCAAGGGGGGGGCGGCAGCAGGGCCAGCCGCCTCAGCAGACAGAGGTGGCTGGAGGCACGGCAACCCCGGCTAGCAGATCGCGCCTCAGCACGCATGCTCAACATGCCAGCTCTAGGACCATGGCTCACTCACTGGTTGAAGCCTGAGATGGGGAACTTGTTGCAGCCCAGCACAAACTCCCCATCCACGACTTGCACGAAGCTATCCTTCAGGGCGGGGTCAGGGTATTGGCGGCCACCGCTGCCGCCGCCGCCATTGCTGGGGGCCACCAGCAGCTGCGAGGGGCCAGCATGCAGACATGGGTGGCCTCCTTGTGATCCGTGGGTGCGGAGAGCACGTAGCAGAGAGAGCGCTGGCCTGCCCCTGCACAGCGCTGCTGAGGCAGGCGGCACACGCCGCCCCCACCGCCGCCAGAATGCTCAGCTGCCACATCTCTGCACACGCTGCCATTGCCCAACTAGCGGCTCGTCCTTCAATGGATCAGCAAGCTCACCCCTCGGCCAGCACGCGTTGTCTGTAGGTTGGCTGATCCCAAGGCGAGGAGCAGCAGCAGGGCTGCAGCAGCAGGAGGCACAGGGCAGCGCATGGCTCCAGCAGCACCAACGAATGTGGGTGGAGAGTGGAGAGCACCAGCAAGAGTCAACCCATCGAACTGTCCAACGGAGGAAGGCGTACTGCTAGCTTCACGTGCTGGAATGCATGCAGCGAAGCACCCTGCCTGCAAATGCCTGTAGCCCGAATGGAGGGGCGGGAAAGGGGGACGACGCCCGCACGCCTCCCCCACTTGCCCCACCCCCCCACCGCCACAGGTGCCTGCTCGCCTCCTTAGCCCCCTCCTTAGCGGCACCCCTTTGGACGTTCCTGGCATTGCTTACATTCCTGCACGAGGGACATGAGACAGACAGACAGACAGACACACACACACACACACTCACACGCAGGCAATGGCGAGACAGATGGGTGAGAGATCGGCAGCGTTGGTTGCTGGTTTGGAAAGGGTTGGTTTGGAAAAAAGGATCTTAGGCTGGACACTCCACGCGCTCAGGTGGCTCAGGGCTGCTCAGACGCCGCCTGCACGAGCGGCGGCTCCTCCGGCTCCAGCAGCTGTACGGTGCCGGCAGGCGGCGCGGTGGTGCCCGGCGGCACAATGGGCGCCGTGGGGGCGGCAGTGGCGGCCGGGGTCGTGGCGGCGGGCGCCGGCTCGGCGGCGGGGTTGGCGTGAGCCAGCTCCGCGCCGTACTGAGCCACATAGTGGTCCTCAAACTGCAGCAGGTGCAAGCAAGCATGCGCACCAGCTCAGCAAGCAGCGTGCCAGGCTCAGAGCTCCGGCTCGGCTGCTCTCAAGCAGCACAGCAGCTCACACAAGGCCCTCGCATTCAGAAGTCCCGGAGCCGGAATCTTGCCGGGCATGCCCGGCTGCCTGGCTGCCACATGCAACACCACCACATGCACCACCACACACAGACCACACACACCACACCTGCTGGAAGATGGCGGTGACGGCGGGGTTGGCGCGGCTGGGCTGCCCCGCGGGCTCCACGTACGTCACGTTGGCGCAGGCGCCCGCCACGTCCATGTCCAGGCGGTAGTAGGAGCGCCAGAAGCCGCAGGGGAAGGAGAAGGAGCCGCCGCGGTCGTTGGTGCGGTTGCACAAAACCTCCTGGCCGAAGCTGCGGGAGGGTTGGGGGGCGGGGAGGAGGGCGTGACTCGGGAAGCCGCCTGGTGCGCAAAAACGTAGCAAGGGCTAGCAAGGGCCGCCTCTGGAAGCCGACGGATGGCAGGACTGGGAGTGATGCGGGGCACCAAGCAGGGCAGGCCAAGCGCGAGGCAGGCCGCCTGGAGAGGCAGCAGGCTCACCAGAAGTTGTACTCGGGGCACTGCTGCGTCTTCAGGAAGCACTGCGCCAGCACCTCGTTCACCACAAAGCTCTCGCACTCCTCCGCCTCCTGGCACGCCACCATGCACTCCTGCGCGAGGGCAGGCGGGCGCAGGCGTGGGGGTGGTGTGAGGGAACCCCAGAGGCAAATCCAGGAAGCCCCGGTGCCAGCCACCCCTGCCCCTCCACCCCTCCTCCAGTCCTCCACCCCTCCTCCAGCTCTCCCTCCTCCCCAGGACCTCGCTGGCTCACCAGCAGCGACACATTGGTGCGGGAGCCGTACTGGGCGCCCTCGGCGCGGAAGAAGGCAAAGGAGTCCAGCGGGTCGTACAGGTAGCCTGCAGGGGGGTGGGGAGGGGGTGGGGAGTGGAGGGTGGGGAGGCATGGTGAGGAGATATGGGAAAATCACCGAGTGGGGAGGCAGGGCCGGGAAGGAGTCGGGGATGGAAAGCTAAACACCCCAGCCTGTCAGGCCGGGGCAGGACCGCCAGCAGTGACGGCAGCAATACCCAAGGCAGGACGGCACGCCCCGCCACCATCCCCGCCCCGGGCCCCACCGGACCCCGCCCCAGCCACCCCCGCCCCCACCTGGCGCGGTGGCGGGCCAGGCCACGTCGTAGCCGGCGTCGCAGGCCAGCCCCTGAGGCTCGCTCCAGTGCAGCGCCTGCAGCTGCTCCAGCGCGGCGGCGTTGGCGGCGCACGCCTTGCCGTCGCCCTCGTAGCCCCTGCGGGCAGGGAGGGGAGGGGGTGGGATGGGGTGGGGGGTAACAGGGAGGCGTGGCGGGAGGGCGGCAGGCAGGGCGTGGCGGCGAGCCGGGGCGTGCGGGCTGCCGCACTCCCGCCTCTGCCCCGCGCAAGCGCCAGCAGCTGCCATTGGTGCAGCCGCCTGAAGAAGAGCCCCAGAGCGCCCCAGCGCCCCCGAGTGCCTCCCCTGGCGCAGCGAGCTCACCACCAGCACTTGCACTCGTAGCCGGCATCAGTGTCGATACAGGTGGCGTGGGGGTCGCAGGTGGCGGTGCCGCGCACGCACTCGTTGATGGGCACGTCGCAGGCGGGGCCCTCCAGGCCTGCCGGCAGGGGGGCGGCAGCGGCACGGCCGGCAGGGGGCTCAGCGGGGCAGGCGGGCAGCCGGCTCGGCAGGGGCTCAGCAGAAGGGTCCCAGGCCTGCGATCTGGCTGGCCCTGAGCAGGCCCGACCGTAAGGCAACACCCCGCGGCAGCCTCACCCGTGCCGGGCGCGCCGTCCACCCAGGTCTGGGCGCAGTCAGGGGCGGCAGCCACGGGCGCGGCCTGGGCGGCGGCGGCCACGCAGCCGGCCACGGGCTGCGCGTTCAGCTGTGCCACGGTCTGGGCGTTGGCCTGGATGGGCTGGAAAGCGTCGTCGGTGGGGAAGATGCCTGGGGGGCAGGGACAGGTGGGAGAGCAGGAGAAGAAGAGGGTTGTGTCGTTGCGCTGGGGTGCTTGGGAGGTCGACCCAGGCAACCCAGGCAGCCCACCACCCCACACGTGTGGCTGAAGATGGCCCAGCTGCTGCCTCCCACTCCACCTCAGGCCGCGCAGCCGCCTCACCAAACAGGCCGCGGCCGCCGCCCTCCGACTTGGGCGCGCGCTGGCCCTCCAGGAACAGCTGCCCTGTGTTACAGTCACCCCGCTATGATAGGCCGCGTGAGCAGACCTTGGGCAGGGGGCACACGTGATCAAGGGGCATCAAGAGAGGGGGTGGACCATGGAGCACCCTCTCCATGGCTCCGACCACCCTCCCCCCAGCTGAGCGTCCCAGGGTCACCCCACCCTGGCCCCGCTCCCCGTCCTGCCGGACACGCAACCCCCACAACGTGGTGGGGGACGTGGGGATCCTTAGCAGCTTAGGCCTGCCAGGCCGACGGGTGCCGATGCTGGTGCGGGCTCCCGGCGGCAGGCAGCGCCGCCGCCGGGCACTCAAATGGCATGGGGCACATGGGCCCCCATGCCCGCACATCTCCCAGGCACATGAAAATACCAGAAGGCTGCACATGTAAGGGTGCAAAGTGGCCTGCCGCGGCGGTCGGCTGTGCCATTACTCAGTCAGCCGCCGCTACCGTGCCGGGCTTGGCGTTCCCATGCCAACATGCCGGCGTGCCATCGCGCAAGGGGCCAGTGAGTGTGTGAGGCGGAGGTGGGGGTGGTGGGCCT